CTAAAAAAAAAAAAAAGGGTAAAATATCTAAAAAAAAAAAAAAAGTGACACCGGGAGAATTGCAAGGGCTGAAAGGTAGGATTATCTGCAGAGGAGTTCAAAACAGTCAAGATAGGGGTCAAGGGCTTCTCTCTGCTCAGGGCTACTGCTGAAGCACTGTGTTAAAGCTACAGATAAGCACAGTCCCCAGTCAGAAGTACAGTATCTTCCCTGCGCAGGTTGGAATTGTGCCAGGGGGAAGCTGAACCCCTCCTTCTTAGCCATCCTGGTCCAGATGGCTGGGGATAATAGGGGTTGTGCTCCAACCCCTCTGGCCAGCCTTAGGAATAATAGCCCAGGCTAGTTCCTGCTTTCTCAGAATTCAATCAGGCTTACTTCCAAATAATTGTAAATATGGATTGGATGCCCGAGCCAGAGAGATGGAAGCAATTCGATGGAAATTGTTAATGCAGAGGTTTATGCAGGCTTACTCAGAAGTAGGTACATGTGGGAGGATAACTGAATGTTAACATTCCTTGTCTGCTCTGTGTGCAGATATATTCTGCAGATCAGTGACGGGGCTCTTGTGACTCCTGTCAATATTAAAACAGAATAGATGTGAAAATCAGCCCGAACTTGGTGAGAACGGCCAATCCCATCCCAGTGTTGGTCATTTTCAACCTCCTTTCTTAAGATCAAAGAGGCTACAGGATAAAATCATCAACACCTTGTGGCATTTAGGGATTTCAGGCCTCAGGTGTTCCCCCCCTTGGTGTGTTTTGTGCTGCTCAGGGAGAATTCCCTGAAGAAAACGAATGACAATTTAACATTGGTCAGGAACTGTGGTCCACCCACGTAAAAGGAAAGTCTTCTTCAGGGCAGCTCCTGATGGCTTCATGGATACAGTGGCAGAGTTTTCTTGGCAACAGAAAGGACTACGCCCGCCTTCCCTAGTCTAACCTCTTCTGGTTGCCCATGGCTAAGGACTAGGGGATTTGTAGTCTGGCACATCTGTTGGCCAGGTTCCTTTGCCACTGCCTTTTTCTAGGATCATTTTGCAACTTCCCAGTGCTGCCTACAGCCAGAGACCTCTGCAACAGCCAGTACAGGTAGTCCTCATTTACTGACTGCAATTAGGACCGGCAGCTCCGTCACTAAGTGAAACATGTGACCGTGCCTGACTTACAAAGTCAGTTCTGGCTGCGGTCATTAAGCAAATCACCCACAGTTATGAAATATCATGTTATGTGACCTTGACTTTTAACTTCCTGCTGGCTTCCCCATTGATTTTGGTTGTCAGAAGCTGGCTGTGAAGGTTGCAGGATGCTGCAACCGCGGGACACTGACCATCATAAATGCATGCTGGTTGCCAAGTGCCCGAATCATGATCACGTGATTGCGGGTATGCTGCAACAGCTGCAACATCGAGGACTAGTCGTAAGTCTCCTTTTTCAGTGCTGTTGTAACTTCAAACAGTTGCTGAACAAGCAGTCAATAAGTGAGGACTACCTGTACATTCATCAAAATAATGGAAAAAGCGTCATGCTATCGCATCACAAGTGCCACCCCTTTTGGTACATGTGCATGTCATGAATGTACAGAAGGGGTGCAGGTTGCATTGAAATAGCACAATGCTCCTTTCATCATCCCCTCCCTTTGAACCCACCTGCAGATGCTTCTGCTACAGTCCTGGGCTTTCCGTTTAGAAGGGACTCCAAATGTTGTCATTTAGGTCATTTAATGACAGGAGGAAAAGTGATGAAGGTGAAACTTCCCTTCTTCCATAGCCAGCACAGAAACGAGGGGTGGGGGGAGGATGGAGGGTGAAGAGACCACTCTGCCCCTTGCTCGCCAGCTCTGAACTCCGAGTCACCTCTGGTGAGTGGGCAAGTTTTGTTTGCTACTTAAAACTTCTCCATCTGTGGCATGAAGTAATAAACAATACTAGAAAAGGGAGGCTTAGGGACAGCAAAATTGAATTTGTTTTCAGACTGGTTTGGAGTTTGTCAGAAGCCTGGGCAAGAGGAAAGCCGTCTTCACCTGCGTGGCAGGGCGTTTCCTAAATGGAATGCCATCCCTGCAAACAGCTTCTCCCCAGTGCCCTGCTATACCCACTTTGACTTGGACTGAGTGGGTCCATTATGACTGCAATTTTGTTTTTATGGCCTCTGCTCACGATCGTTCTGCATCCAAAATGAAATCTAATTGTTCTAAAAATGGGAAAGTTGCCACTCAAGATTGCTATGGGCAGGCCTAGTCTTGGATGCTCTTTCTCTTCCAGCTCTGCACGGCAATCCTTTGGCTCTCATTGCAGGATTTGAGGCCTTTCGTAGAGGCGGTGGTGAATTCCCCTGAAGGAGAGCAAGATCCAGCAGAGGCCTGGGAGGGAGCCCTGTTCAAGGAGATCAAGCAGGAGTGGAAGAGAGACGCTGGATCCCTGGGTATGGTTCCACCAGAGTGGTTGCTGACTCCATCCTTTGCATGTTTACTCTGAAGTAAGTCCTGCTGGGCTCAGTGGGACTTACTCCCTATTAAGCATGCGTAGGATTTTTAATGGAAGGCTGTATAAGTTCAGGTAGTCGTCGCTTACCGACTGCCTTGTATAACAACTGTTCAAAGTTATGATGGTGTAAAAAAACTTTGCAACCAGTCCTCACATTTATGACCATTGCAGTGTCCTGTGGTCACATGATCGCCATTTGCGCACTTCCCAAATGGCTTGTGACAAGCAGTTAATGGAAAATGCGGACATAAAAGCGCAAGTTGTGGTCACATGATGTTTTGTTTAAAGACCACAGTGACTCACTTAACAACTGAATGGGAAGTGACATCATAAGTCCATCATGGTCACATGACAGTCCAGAAGTTTCCATTCATGTCCTAGACATGTCCTTTCATTCAATACCCATTGACTTCTCTTCTTGTTTTACCATATGCGTTTCTTAACTGCATTCAACTTACTTTTATATTTCTCCTGAAGTTGCCAAGTTTTACTTCCAGGTAATGAAGTGGACTGAAGTAAGCTCATTTACACAGCTATTTGTTGCTTCTTTTAACCGACACATATTTTGGTCAATAAACGACCTTCTATTCATTCCTTTCTACCAACATTTGCATGCATTAAAATTATATTAACTTTTTAAAAATTAAAATTAAAAATCCTTTTTCCCATATTTAGTAAATGTTCTGAAAGGTGCACAAATTCATTTACTTGTTCTAGTTTTCCACCATTTCTGTGTAACTTGCAATCATTCACTCAATTTTCCCTGTCAAACGTACACGTGTGTATGTGTGTATTTTAATTTTCAGATCCATACTCGTTATTGCATTTTACAATTTTATATTTGCTACAGATAATTGGCATCGCCGGCATACCAGAACTCACATTTGTTCACATCCCCATCAACCCACCTCTGCCATCCTCACAAGCCATCTTTATATCTTCATGCATAAACGCATTAAACAACGGAGAGGATTCTGGCCTTGTTTCCTGTTCAATGTTAAATCCGTTTGCTAGGCATTCCATTTATTCTCGCATATGCTTTACAATTAATTACCACGTTCGGCAACTAATTTTCAATAGCACATTCATGCACAACATTCCATAATTCAGTACTATTCACTTTATCATACACTTTTTCTAAATCCACAGTCATACAATAAACTTTATTTTTTCTCATTCATACATTTCTCAGTGACCTGCTGAAGAGCAAAAAACTCACTCTCCCTGCCTATCATAAAGCCACCTTGCCCACACATTTTGATCATGGTCACCTCTTGTATCCTTTTGCTTAGAAGGCTGTCATCTTCCCCTCCACACTGGGATTACAAACGAATCCCTCTGTATTTTTTACATTTGCCGTTGCTCCTTTTCTTACACTCACATGTTTTACACCATTCTCTTGAATCAAATCAACCTTTGTAATGGCCATAGACCAGAATAGCATTCTCTTATATGGGGTTTTCCCTCATCCACAGCCTCTTTCACTTCATCATTCTATCCAACATCTTTTTTCATACTTCTTATCAACTTTGTCTATGCTCTGTGGTGACTTTCTCTGGCCCATAATTCTTTTCCCTCTGTTCCAAGCAGCTTTTGTATCTTCTTTTCTCACACCCACTTTCGATTTGTTTTCTTGGGAAATTAATCTGCTTTCTATTATAGGTAGTCCTCGGATTATGACCACTCGTTCAGCAACCATTCAAAGTTACGAAGGTGCTGAACAAGTGGTACTTATGACCTGTCCTCAAAGTTCTGGCCGTCACAGTGCCCCCATGGTCACATGACCATGATCCAGGTATTGGTGCCCGGCTTGCGATTGCGATGTCAGAGTAAGCTGCAGCCACAGGATTGTGATTACCAGTGCTCCTGCTGGCTTCCCACAAGCAAAGTCAGTGGGGAAGCCAGCAGGAAGTCAGAAGTTGCTCCCACTCCTGCCGCTTGTTTGCTTGTCCATGGTCCATAGTGCCTGCCCACGGTGCCCCCATCTCCCCATGGCACCTACACACCTGCCTGCACTCTGTAGTACCTGCCTGTGGTGCCCCCTGTAGCACCTGCACACCACTGGCCTGCTTGCCTGGGACTCCTGCCCGTTCCTGCTTAATGACGCACATGGTCCTAGGGTTATGACAGCTGCTGGGATTGCTGTTGGCAAGTGATGAGGTCACACGATGTCACACTTTACAGCCACAGCGCTTAGTGATGGAAATTCTGGTCCCAATTGCCACCATAACCCAAGGACTTAACCTGTACTTTTTCATACTTTCTCTATGTGCAATTGTTCTGCCTTCGTTCTTGTTTCTTCCTGTTTCTTTCACCTCTTTCCTTTTATTTCTTGTCTAATTTTATTCTCAAGATCCACTCTTGGTACTACCATAAACTGGTCCAGGGACCTAGCTGAATTTTCCTCTATCTGGTGCCCTCCAGATGTGCAGAACCAACTCCCATAGTTCCTAGCCAGCATAATCATTGTCCTTTAGCGTATCTCTAATCTCAATATTGCGCCTACAAGGAATTATGGGAATTGAAACCATATACATCAAAAAGTCATCAGGTTGGGAAGGGCAGACCCATTTTAGGTTAATAGAATAGTAGGAGGGTACATATGGTAAATATGGAAGGATACTAAGGAGGCTCTTCTTTCTTTGATGCAACGAACAAAAAATGTGTTTATAACATACATCCCATCAAGGTACAATCCAACCACAGTCAAAATTAACAAGTAAAAAACTAACAATTAAAGTTACACAAAAGCAATACAGGTAGTCCTTGACTTATGGCCATTTGTTTAGCGACTGTTTGAAGTTACAATAGCTCTAAAAAAGTGATGACCTGTCCTTGCACTCATGATCATTGCAGTGTCCCCATGGTCATGTGATCAAAATTTGGGTGCTTGGCAACTGGCATGTATTTACAATGGTTGCAGCATCCCGGGGTCACGTGATCGCCATTTGCGACCTTCCCAGCCAGATTCCAACAAGCAAAGTCAAATCAGGAACTGCATGATTTGCTTAATGACCGCCACAGAAAATGTCATAAAATCAGGTGTGGTTATGTGATACCTTGCTTAACTACTCTACTACTTGATGAATTTCCTGGTCCCTATTGTGGTCGTAAGTCGAGGACTACTTGTACAATCGATACAGACTTAGAGTAAAAATAACACTTTTACAACCATAAAATCCTCAGTCTATCAATCTGATGCCCACATACTGGACTCCCCCTTTGGTTTCCTTACTCCTAAAGGCGGCCTCATTTTTACTTTAAAACCTTTTGGTTCCAAGGTCCAAACAGTGGCATATTAATGTCACTGGAGGGGTCAGGCTGGAATTTTTAAATAAAAAAGTAAAGTAGGTTGATGTTACCTGTCAAAGGCTTAACATACCTACCTTACATTTTTAAGTAGTAAAACTGCATTTAAGTTCAGTCTTGAAGGACTGTGGGAGTTGCAAAAAAGTGATGCATCTTTTCTAACTGGGCCTTGTTCCCATCTCACTTGCTTTCTCTTCAGGGGTCGGTACCCCATGTGAGGAAAAGGATGGGCTCCAGAGACTTTGGGGCCCAGCACAAACCTGCAGAAAATTCCCCGGGGAAGCTGCCGGGCACCTGATGCTAAGTTGCAAAAACTTTGCAGAAAGTTGCGTGTCAAAGAGATTGCAGGAGCAGCCACCCATGATGATATGGGGCGAAGCTCCAGTCCCAGGGAAAGCCGCCAGGTCTCTGGAAGAAGCGGGCTGCCATAGCAGAACGATCAAACACCTATGCCCAGAATGCGGGCAGAATTTCCAGCACAAATCGACCCTCATCCGGCACCAGAAGATGCATTCGGGCGAAAAACCCCACGTGTGCCTAGAGTGTGGGAAGACTTTCCGCCGGAGAGACAAACTGATCCGGCACCAGAGAATCCACACTGGACAGAAACCACACGCATGTCCCGAGTGTGGGAAAAGCTTCCGCGAGAGAGGGAAGCTGATCAGCCACCAGCGGATCCACATGGGAGAGAAGCCCTTTGCTTGTCCCGCCTGTGAGAAAACCTATCGCTGGAAAGAAGAGTTTGTGAAGCACCTGAGAGTCCACGCGGGAGAGAGGCCCTGCAGGTGCCTCCACTGCGGGAAAAGCTTCATTAGCCAGAGTCACCTGGTCTCCCATCACCGGAGCCACGCTGGGGAGAAGCTCTACGAGTGCCCAGAATGCCAGAGGGGCTTCTGCAGCAAGGAGAGCCTCAACAAGCATCAGCATGTCCACCTGGGTGAGAAATCCTATGAATGCCAGGACTGTGGGAAGAGGTACCAATACATTTCAAACTTTGTCAAACACCAGCAAATTCACGTGAGCGAACGGATCCTCTAATTGAGGGACTCTGAGGGGGGAACTTGAGGGTCTGCTGGACACTTCTCTGCTGTGGTCTCATGCATCTTGCACATCTGTCTTAGTGTGTGCTAGATGCAGAAGAAGAGACCATAACTCCAGAATAGGATCCCTTTTTGCAGACGGAACATTCCCTGCCTCTTCAGATGGAAAGATGACAGAGCAGAGCAAAAGACATACATTAAATAATAAATAAATAGTATTATTATTAACCTTTCTCTGTCTGAGACCTGCTGCCAATCAGAGTTAAACAGTGGGGTAGATGGACAGATATTCTGATTTGTTATGAGGCCTGTTGTATTTCCAGTGCCTTCTAAACAGGCACTGATTGAGCTAATCCAGAATTTTTCAAATGTTGCAGTTCCCTAAAGTAATAGATGAATTTGTATGCTTCCCCCCATTAATAAAATAATGATTTATTTATTTTATTTATATTTCAAATTTGGACACCGTCCGTCTCACAAGAAAGTAACTCTGGGCGGTTTACAATAAAAGCAACAAATAAATAATTAAAATATGATAAAATTGTATAAAATACAATAAAACCAAATACATACATAAATAATATCTTCCAAGGTGCTGCTGATAAAAAAGATATTAACATACAGGGTTCGGGTGGGGTAAAAAATAAATATGCCAGTTATTTATAATTGTTGTTGTTGTTCAGTTGTTAAGTTGTGTCCGACTCTTCGTGACCCCATGAA